GAGCTCGTCGGTTCATGACATTGACTCTTCCCGCTCTTCCCACCCACAGGGAATCTCAAATTTGCTTCCAAAATAATCCAAACATTTTATGAATGTTGGATTAACTGAAACTGGATTGAATCACCAAAAACTAACGGAACAAAATTGAAAACATACTATAGTAGAAGCTTCCCATGTCACTACTCATTCTCTTTGCGCACCTTTCCAGAAAGAACGTGTCCCCTCCAATGTATTTCCATGCTGCCAAGGTGCTCCAAAGTTTGTGGTAAAACCCTCTGCTTCAATCGCCTCCGATGCTGGCTCTCCGAGCTCGCGCGAGGGTGGAGGAATCTTGTTTTCAAGCCTGAAACACCTGTAGACCTATAGCTGAAACCTGAAACCCATTGCCCTCCATTGCCCTTAACGTGGTGGAGAACCAGAACTGCGACTGGGGTCATCCTCCACGAAGCGGTCCACAGAGAAAAGACAGAAATACCGTGAAGCCTCTAAACTATACAAAACTTGATTTTCGGACGATTGCTTATCAGAAAAGAACTGCTCGAAAAAAGAACTGCTCGAAAAAAACTTTGCATTTGGAGGGGTTGAGGCGCTCTAGCGCAATGGATTGACCATTCTGGTTGGATTCACCTCTCTGTCTTGCTCATGGCAGGTCCTTGAGCTTGAAACACCCCTGCAGGTCCTGGGGTCTTTTCTTTGCCAAAAGTGAATCAATCGCTGGCTATTCCCCAAACCCAAACCCAACATAGCACGGCCGGAGGATCCGGAAAAGGAACGGTCAGAATCTCACATACCGTTGGAGACTGATCGTTGTGTGTGACTGATCGTTGGAGATAGATTCGATAGGCAAATTTATCGGATGATAGGGGATAGGATTTGCTAGGCTAGGAAAGAATGGGACATATAAAGCCAAGTTGATAGACAAATACACAAATAGACGGGATGTTTAGATTGATAAACGGTTCTGTAGATAGACCGATGGATTTAAATAAACACGTAAATGCATCGATCAGGACAGTGACAGGTGGATATACCACACATAGATCACATGGAAAGATCAGAACAAAACATTCCAAGCCTCGGCAATGGGAGGTAGAACATCAGCGCTAGCGGCAGGCAGGAATTGAGCCTAGAGTCCAACATATGTCTCTGCTTCTACCTGAACATTCAGTCAATATCTATCCCTACGAGTCTCTCTGAAGAAGGCTCGACCCACAAGATACATCCAAGAAAACGAGAAGAACTTTAAGTACACCTCAGCAAGTCCTCATCTTCCTAAGCCCAACACATGCTGGCCTGTCTAGTCCCCCAGAGACGCAGCGGCCGGATATTGGGACACGCCAAAATACCTTGAAACACTGCCAATACTAGGAACAAGAAGCTACTAGGAGCAAAGGTACTAGGAGCAAGGACACTACTAGGGGCTCCTGACCTTACTACTAGGAACAAGAAGCTACTAGGAGCAAAGGTACTAGGAGCAAGGACGCTACTAGGGGCTCCTGACCTTACTACTAGGAACAAGAAGCTACTTGAAACACTACACTCCACAAAGTAAAACTACACCAGCCCGCCAAGGTGCCCATCTTTGGGGTTCCTCTGAGGCTGGCCTCAACATCGGTGTGCCGTCTTTTCGTTGTGGAGACGTTGATGAGCTTTAATGACATTCATGCAGTTTTCGAGTCACAGCTGGATAAATATATGAATCAATTAGGCCATTATATAAATGCTAAGATTGCATTTCAGAGACTCTTGCAAGCCTCACTACGGAATACCACGTATACCTCTCAGCACCTCTCATCTCAGCACCTGCCTGGCTGCCACTAAAGGCGGCAATGACTCAGCCTCGAAGTGACACTCGCTCAGTGAAGACTCTCTAGGAGGCCCCTTAGTTCGTCTGAGTTTTGGTCTCCCAAAAGAGCCAGACCCCCAAAAGTTCGAAACACGTTGCTTTTCAGGAAAAGCGACTGCTTGAGGTCCCCTACCATTTGCCCAACACAATACGTTGAGAATCAAAACCTGCTTCGGTGCCTGAGGAGCCATGATCGGCTCCGACACCATTTCCTGTTCAGCGAGGCCAGCGAGGCGTTTTGCTTCCGCCTGGCTAAAGTCGCTTGGCGTCGCATCGCTTCGATCGGATGCGGAGGATTGGAGTGGATCGGATCTGGTGTAACGAGCTTCTCCAGTGTGCTGGCAATCCCGGGTGACTTTCCTCTGAAGACATGAAGCCTTGAAGCCTTGAAACCCTGCTGACGACCTGAAGCCTAGCGACGACCTGAAGCCTTGAAGACCTGAAGCCTGGTGACGACGTGAAGCCTTGAAGACCTGAAGCCTGGTGACGACCTGAAGCCTGGTGACGACCTGAAGCCTTGAAGACCTGAAGCCTAGTGACGACCTGAAGCCTTGAAGACCTGAAGCCTGGTGACGACCTGAAGCCTTGAAGACCTGAAGCCTAGTGACGACCTGAAGCCTTGAAGACCTGAAGCCTAGCGACGACCCGAAGCCTTGAAGACCTGAAGCCTCTTCGTGTCTTCGCTTGTCTTCGTGTCTTTGCGTATCTTCGTGTCTTCGTGTCTTCGCGTGTCTTCGTGTCTTCGCGTGTCTTCGGGTCTTCGTGTCTTCGTGTCTTCATATCTTCGCGTCTTCGTGTCTTCGTGTCTTCATATCTTCGCATCTTCGTGTGTCTTCGTGTCTTCGCGTGTCTTCGTGTCTTCGGGTCTTCGTGTCTTCGTGTCTTCGCGTGTCTTCGTGTCTTCGCGCAAAAGTCACAACCCGCTTCTGCCAACGCAATGAGCTTCTCAACCTCAACTGAGGAAAACTGGAGGAACTGGTATGATTGGTTGGTTTGTTAGAATGGGATTGCGCCAGATCCTGCGGGGAGCTCAGATCGGCAACATGTGGGTCGAAAGCCAAGCCACATGCTCAGATCGGCGAACCTTCGTCCAGCTGGCAGATTTGGGTAGAAAAGGAGGAGACAAAAAGAACCAACATGGCCTCGCCTCTTTCCCCTTGGTATAGTTCAACTCCTGCACGATCAGGCGCAATTCTTTTCCGGCCGCTCCTGGCCGTCTCGGCCGCGCCGTGGTCCGTGGGTCCCAGCAGTGTGAACTCATCGGACCCCTTGGACGCGCCCAGATGCCGTCGGAAATGAAGCTGTCCAGCGACAAGAAGCCAAGTGGGAAGAAATCAAAACTACTGTATTCCTGAGCTGAAGAACTCCACTTGACTAGTGCAGGCCCTTCCTGAAAAGAGACTTGGAGTCGTTGTGGCCTGGGTATGTAATGGTATGCGTGACCTGGCCACCCAAAGAAATGCACACAGTTCGTGTCTTCTAAGCTGTTCCCGTCACGTCTGCAGTGACAAAACCCCGTGAGCGACACCTCACTCGCGAACCCGCCCCGGCCTCGAGCGATCACATGCTGGACAGACCTCATGGAGGCCGGGCAAACGATCCCGGGCACCGACCACGGAAAAAACCCACGCAGGACATACCTCATCTGCCTCATCTACGGTCACCTAGCCAGGAGTTGCTGAGTCCTTCAGGATCATCCGACGGGTCCCACAGAGGCATAGGGTTCCGACAGAGGCTTAGGGTTCCGACGGCTCCCAGAGGTAGACGGTGGGTGGGTCAGGCAACTCGATCCCTCCGATCTTTTGGGAAACTCTCGAATGCAAACCTCGGTCTCGCTCCACCTGGGGGAGGACTGTTTCGGAAGGGGGAGTCGCCCCGAAGGGATTCGTTCCAGAAAGAGATCCGCCAGCAAAAGCTCCGTAATACAACGATCTACCATGATCTACGACGGTATTGCACAAGGTAAAGCTAGGGTTGATAATTTCAGTGTCGTTCACTTGCGAGACCCTTCTTGACCTCTTTTAGGCTTCAGTTTGAAAGGAGTATCAGTCGCGTTGTGATGGTAGAATGACAACTGCAAGTTCACAGCTGGTAGACCTCGGCACGTCTTTGCTGATGTCGACGAGTCACCCATCCAGCCACAGTGGATGAAATTCGGAAAGAAAAAAAAACATGCAGGGTACAACTGACTGGTCGAAACACGTTTTGAAGAAACATGCCTCTGTAAGAATTGGTGTAGCAGTGTAGCCCCCAGCAGGCTAGAAGCCTTAGAGGAGAGAAGACGACGATTCATATCGCTGACATGGTTAGGGCCGCCACTGATTGGCGCCACACAATCGACCTGCAAAGCCCAGGAAGTGATCAAAGCTGCGTGGCACAATCATGATGGTCGAAGGTCGTTTCTTCTCAAAGAAACAGATCTAAAATAGACTGAAAGAAGACCTGGACAGTCAGTGAGGCACAGAAGTTCTTCAGTCCTTGAGACGAGTCCTCCGCATCAGAAAAAGGAACTGCTTCAACAAAACAGGAACCGGTTCATTCAAGTCTTTAACCTCATGTGTTGAGACGTAACGAAGAACAAAGAGCACCCCCTTTGCAAAGCTTGACTCAAGGGGGTTCTTCAACCACAAAAAATGGTTCTCGGTGGAGTCCACCCCAACATATCACAACAAAGGAAAATTATAGTAAAATATACCGCCTCTTAAATGCACCCTTTTTGGTGTGTGTGTGTGTGGGCTGGCCTTTGAAAGTGAAGGTTCTGTTCTTGTTCTACACCACAACCAAGCCAAGCACTGCACCAATCCTAAAAAAATCATGAAGAAGTTCTGGCTCTTTTGAACCTGTCGCAGATCAAACCTGGCCATCAAAAGAGTAGCTCTTCACCAGGTTCATCCATCTGCAAACTGCACCACAATGGCATTATGAATCGTCACCAGTCACCGTTTTCGCCCCTCTAGATCCTCTGGCTCACCACTAAGTCTGGCTCGGATTTCGTCCGATCCAAACAGCGACCGCCTGGGATCCCCCGGCAAACGAACTTCCTCTTCTTGTTCTCAGAGACCGCCTGATGCGTCTGACCTGGTGGCGAGTCGTGGCTCTACGGTGACTTCATGAGACACGACTTTGGTGAATTGCTTGTGACTCCCACGAATTGCTGGAACTTCATGAAGAATCCCACGAATTGCCCAACGAACCCGTTCTTGGTCCGGACCTCCGGACCGCTTCAGATCTCGGAACCTGGTTTCCCTTAAGAGCGAAGCAATAGACGAAGCAATAGACCCGGCCATCTTCTTTGGAGCGGACGATGTTCAACATGGATTGAACAGGCCGCAGGGCAACCCGGTTTCTGGTTGAAAAGGCTGCCCAAATCGTCAATGCCGCAGGTTTCATGGACACCCTGACAAAAGCGCTTGCATGGACACCTGGCTTTGTATGCTTCAAAATGATGAAGAAGTTCCTTGGTTCACCTTGATTCACCTTCTTTGTATGCTTCAAATCAAGCTCCTTGGTTCACCTTGATTCGTTTGGAAGATGATCGAACCGTCTTCACCCCTCATCACGTACGTGACAACGCCGCGTCACGTGGGGCGAGCGGCGAGTGTGAAGGGACGCGAGTCGTGACGCATCCTCTTCCACGTCGAAGGCTCGCCCCGGGTTCTATTGTGTACTTGTCTTCAATAATTACAGTTGTTTTTGATAACCTAGTGTACTTGATTTAGTTTATTACAGTAGGTTATTACAGTTATTACAGTACACTAAGTGTACTTGTCTTCAATACTTAATCAAGAAACTAAAATGAAAATACCTTCAGACTGTAATTCAAGACCAAGTACACCCTGAATTAAAGCGGGCCGTGTCTTGAAGATCTTGAAGATAAACTTCTATCGCAATGCACAATAAGGGAAGGATTTGTTGTGCCCATCTCTGGGTCCAAAGGGATTCTCTTTCAGAAGTTGAGACGGATGGTGTCTGGGGATCATCGCCGTGCTGCTTGGCAGTTGAAAGAAGCACACCAACGGTTTTCCTCTCCAAGCTACCTATGCAACACTGGGGGCCCTGACAGGAGAAGCAGCGAACAACAATGTGCTCAGGCATTGGTGAACGGCGGAATAGGGCTTCGAACGGTTCACCGAACGGTGACAAACTGCTGATGTTCATGCCGATCGTTCGTCGAGTCGGAGATGCGGATCGAGTCGCTGCAACCGGCGAAATGGAGTGTGATGATGAGCCGATCGGCTGGACCACTTGTGCACGATTCACCATCTGTAGATGATCATCTTGAGCCAAAAAACAGCTCCCAGTCTTCATGGGCTGTCAACCAGGTAAGACACATTGAACGATGTAAATATACTAAAATGTTGGCTTCGCGGAACAGGTGATCAAATGTAAGATCCAAGATGATCCAAGAGATCACAAGTCAAACCCCCTTCTTCAGGCTGTTCCTCTCTTTTCCATACCAAATTATTTGAATGTGGCACAATCATCAACCGCGTCGCCACAAGACCATCGCAAAAAGGCTCCGCCTGCAGACAGATTCACTCCAAGCATGCTGAGCAGCATCTTCCTGCGAACACGCAAGTTGTCACATCTGATCACGGCGAACACTCAATGCACCAAGATGCACCACGGGTTTGGGAAAAGAGAGCTGGAGAGTTTATCTCCCTGGGCAAAAAGCTAAAGTTGTGACAGCGCCTACCTTAAGCGAAAGACAATCAGAACTTTTTACATTGAGACTGGATGCCGCTGACTTACTCTCATGATCCCTTTAAGAGTCCCACGTCAAAGGAGCCTGCTTCGGACACATGCCCACGTTGCTCGCCAGATCCGTGTGAGAGACAAGGGAGATGACAGGGAAAGATTCAGGCAACGCGGTGTTCGAAACATTCTCAACCGGGGACCTCGGCCATTTTCTTTGTGGATGTGGGCCCTAGATCCAAATGGCCCCAAATGCCTTTCAGACTCGGCGTGTTTGATCCTGTCAGCCGCATCCCCAATCATCCCCCCCCAAGCATCCTCTTGCCGGGCTTGGCCATCTCCGCGCGGCACTCATTCACCTCAAAAGGCCCACATGGTGAAAATGAATGTTTGAAGCCACGGCAGTTGGGTGTGGAAAAAGATGTGGAAAAAATAATGCTTCTTAGTTACGTTCGTAGCGATGCCAGGAGCTACGAGTAGAGTAGTCGCGTGTCCCGATCGCGCTCCGTTCGTAGCCCTGTGTTACTAGTAGCTTCTTGTTCCTAGTAGTAAGGCCAGGAGCCCCTAGTAGCGTCCTTGGTCCTAGTAGCGATGCCCTTTGCTCCTAGTAGCTTCTTGTTACTATTTGTAGTAGCTTCTTCTTACTAGTGTGTGTGTGTGTATGCGTGTCAAGTCAACCGCAAAAGGTGAATCATTGGCTGAATCATCCAGGTCGACACGTCCGGTGCACTAAGAGAAACGCCCGGCATCAAGTCATAAGAATTCTGTATATCGTTAGAATAACTTGTTTAAAGCCAAAAGAGGAGTCAAGGACTATGTTGGTCTTTACTCTCCACTTGTCTCGCAAGCAGCTGCGGAGTGGATGTGATTCCCGCGAAGCAACGGATTTTGGCATCCACAACTCGTTTCAATACTCTGCCAAGCCATCTGGCTGAAGAGGACCATGTTTCAGGAAGCTGAATAGGGAGTCCCTCAGCAAAGCAAGTGATATTGAAAGAGAAGCTTTAAGGAGCATGTTCACAAAGCTGACTAGATCTAACATCCCAACCAAAACTGAAAGCACGATGCTAGGGAAACCTGGAACACGCCCAAAAAAAGAACTAAGCCCATAGTGACACCGTTGACCCTCCGCTTCCCATGCGTCCCACAGGTTGGTCGTGCTCCATCATCCATCCCTCCAATGTCTTCTTCACTGTCGCTTTCAGCGCGGCTTCTCCAAGGTACCACGGTGTCCAAGGTCATTCCATTGGCTTCGGCCATGGCCGGCTTTTCGCCCTCCTGGCTCGTCCGCCGAGGCGAGATCCGGGCGAGGAAGGGGAAGACATCAAGAACACTCAGTCAGAGACTCCAGCACCCTGCCCTCTGTCCTAAGATGGCTGGAATTGACGATTCTTCTTCCACGGCCGGGCCCAGCCGAATGACGAAAGCAGTCTCAGTTTCTTCTTCCCTCTAGAGGTGTCCCATGTGAGGTGATCAGAATCTGGATCTGATCTTTCTCGATGAACCCACACTGGTCCCACCTCCAATCGTCGGTTGCGGCCCTTGCTCGGCCGCTCGGGATAGAGGAAGACCTGGTCGTCGCGGGCGCACCGTCTTGGCAGCCACTGGCCATGTGGTGTCACGTTCAGGTGTCGCTTCCAGGTGCCATGGACTTAGAAGAGTGCCTAAGTGTTCCGAGCTAAAGCAGCTAAAGAAAGCCCTCCCACCCAAAAAAAATTAAAACTCCTCCCCCCACTATAACATACTATAACCAGGAAAACTAGGACAAAAAAGAACGGCAAAACATGGCAAAACACCAGGGCCGCACCGTGCGTCTCGCCACTCCCCCGCCTCAACTCATCTGTTTCAGAACCGTTCGTCTCGCTCGTCTCGCCTCGACGTATCGGTCCTCCATGCCGCGGAGATGCAACTCATCCCGCGCCAAGCGAGCGGACTGGCACCGGCGCGCGCGGTCGTCGTCCGCGGCCGCGGCGGGCCGGACCCGCGTTCACCGGTCGTTTCCGGTCACGGTCATGGGGGGTGGGGAAGACCGAAGACCCAGGAGGACGGGTCGAAGATGGCCTATATGTGTATGCCGCCTGTATGCCTGATCTTGAGCTTGGGGAAAGGATGGCGTACTGGGTGTTGTTTCCAGAACAGGGGGGGTGGGAGGAGCTCAAAAAATGGATTCCATATGAACCCCAACAGGCCTGGTCGTTCATGTTTCACTGGACACAAATCGTTCAGCAGCTTACGGAAGGCGAGCGACTGGCAAATGTCAAAATCTTCCACTGCTGTTTCAGCTTCAACGTTCTTCAAATTGACGGTCAACGAGCACTTTGGAACTGAGACGATGTCAGGAAGATGTCAGGAAGGAGTGTCGCCCATCACTCGCAAGTTCTTCTCGAACCTCTTGGGACTCGAAGAGCACGCGGGCAAAGCCAGAGGGTCGCCCATCACGGTTCAACTGAGACCGCCGAGGTCCCGCGACAGGCACGAAAGACGCCGGTGGACCATCGACGTCGACCCACCACTTCCTGTTGGAGTAGCCTAGATTGAGAACAAGGGCAGGCCACCAGCTAATAATATAGATCTACAGTATATAATCAGATCTACAGTAGGCCTAGAACAGATCTACAGTAGGCCTAGATGATTGAATATACAGATCTACAGTATATAATCGGATCTAGCGATACAGACCTGGACCATCGTGTCTGGGTGTCCTGTCTGGAGATCCCATGGCGTAGGGTAGTCCGTTGGGGATCCATTGGATGATCCGGAATATACTGCGTTTGTTTGTCTCATATCCCCCTTGGGTCCATGACAAAAAGGCATGTCCTGAAAGTACGTAATTCTCGCTCCTTGGGATGAGACGACATCGTTGAACAAACATGACAGCAAGATGTTCGTACCATGCTCCATATCTCCATATCAGTTTCTTCTGAGAAAGTTGGAGAAATGGAAAAGTGCCGTGTGCAGCGTTGGGGAAGGTTGAAGTATCTGACCGACAAGGAAACTGCCGGCCTCCTCAAACTGGTTTTTGAAAAGGCTCCGGACTCATCTACTTTCCCTGTACTCCCTTTCAGGATGTGAGTTGCATGTTTGAGATACAAAGGAGATTACTGCAACAGTGCGGGTCAGTGTGGGTCGGTGCTCCATGTTTCTCTGATCACCCCAACGGCGTGGATGTGGATCGTCAAGCGAGTGTACCCAAAGAAGAGGTGCTTTACACAGTCCTTCCCCTTAGTACATGGTCTTCTGGCCAAGACAGGTCGATACCCGAATCGCACAACTGAACTCCCTGATTCTCTGAGGACTCTGCGATCAAGTGGATGGGGTTCTCTTCCTCTAGTCTGGTAGCAGAAAAGCAGCGAAAGACTTGAGGCTTCACGAAGGGAGACTTTAAATGTTGGCCTGGTCAACTAGAAGATTCAGCCTTAGCATTCCCCTTCCAACTCAACCACATCCCCGTGTTCAGTCAAGACGAAACTGTCGAAGGTAGAAATCTGTGGCTGTCGCTTATGTGGTCATATGTGGTCATGGTTTAAGCTCACTAGGTAAAGAGGCAAGCCTTCAAAATCAGTGCACAAATGGAATGAAACGAATTTCGAGTGTACATTGCTGTTGCCCTGGGGAGACATCTCGTAGGCTTCGTTTGTTCAGTTTCAGGGGGGGACATCGTAGGTTTGGTATGGCTTTGTGTCCTGGAAACCGTGTTGGTCGAAGAAAGGCCTGTGTTTGGCTGGCTTGTTGATGGCTTCGCGATGTGGACCAGGTACAAATGGACAAGCAAGACCTAACACCTTCCCTTGGAAGGTAGGGCATGCCTGATTCATGGGATCTGCACGGATTTGACATCAGATCCACCTTGCTTGAGTCGACCCCAGTTGCAACCAGAATCTCTTGCGAGTCCAACCACCAAGTTGAATCAGTTGCTTAGCTGCAGAATCACTTAAAGCATGTGTGCCAACCACCCAAGTGCGCCGGACACGTCTTCTTCTTAGGCTTCCGGGCATGAAGATGTTCAACATGAGTGTCCAAGAAGTTCCGAATGTCCTGCCGATCTCGGAAGCGTTTCTGTCTTTGGAGGGGGTGATCTGGCCCAACTGCTGCCAAAGTGGGAGAAGCTGTCGAAAATGATTGAGACCAAACACTCCAGGAATTAAAAAAATGAACAGCTACCAGCTACCAGCATCGCTCTTCAACATGTCAAGCAATTCTGGGCCTTCCAAGGCTGTGTTCCCCTTCCTTCACATCCTTCACCTGTGGGAAAGAAACATACAAAAAATAAATGGAAACACTTCACCCCTTCGAAGAATGCTCACCCTTCGCGTCCTCCACCGTTGCCTTGTACGGCAAACCTCTCAATTGTACGGCCAAATGCCCTTGACCATCCTGGACGTGGAGCCGAAGGGAGCGGTGAAGCATGGAGCGGATGGAGCCGAATGGAAGCGAGAAACCACCGTCCCCGCGAACTTGGTTCCGTGGCCTGGCCAAGCGGCCTGGCCTTGGTTCCGTCCGATCAGATGGAAGAAACATGACGAAAGCCTCATCACCTGTAGATCTTCCTCCACCCCAAGGCCGCTGTTCGTGAGTTCACCCCACTGTGGAGTCATCGAATGACGTGTGCCCCAGAGTCGCGGTCTGCCCAATGAAATGGATCAGCTGGCAGCAATGTGTCTCATCGAAGAACCGGTTGACCCCGGTGTTTCGAGCCTTCGAGCCACACCCGTTCTATTCGACATAAGACCCGAGGAAAAACCATCTAAACGTATCTCTAAACTCTCTGCTTGGGTGGGTTCGTGGGTTGACTTGGACATGGAATCCACACTCCACACCTCTTCCCCACGTTGCTGCACAGAACGGGCAAGGAGACCGGTCGGTGGGGCATATTCCCATGCAAGTACTCATCTTCCACCATCTTCCCACATTCCCACTTCGATTGTGGTGACGAACTCGGACGAGATCTTCTTGTTTGGAGGAGTGCATCACAATTCTTGAACATGAAATAACCACCCTAAACTAGACCTGTGAAACTCGCAGGAAAACAAACACGTGAGCAGCAGTTCCAAAACATTTGAAGGTGATGTTTCCTTCCAACACTTCTTCCGACAGCCAGGTGAGGCAGCCAGGTGAGGCGCAGCGACATACCGACACACCGACACACCGTTTCCGACCGCCTGCCTCGTCGAAAAGTAACGCATTCTTTGCATCCTCGAAGAGAGGCAAAGAGTCAGACTTCACCAGAAGATGATATGGGATGATATGGTATCAGCACCGAGGAAATTGCGAGGAAACAGGGTCATTGGGGAACATGAATCATTACATAAATAATAATATTACATATACATCACAATACACAATGAATCCATCATCGTTCGTTTGATGCAGCCTGCCGTTCGCATTCAACTTGAGGTATCTACATGATCAATAAACCGTCGTGAACCATGACAAGACTGCCAAATTGGCAAGATCCTCTCTTGACGACGTGTCTTCCTCGATGCGAACGAAGCGAACGACATGAAGCGAACGAAGCGAACGACACGACGTTCTCCTGCTGCTGCTTCTCCTGGCGTCTCGAAATTGGTTGTGGATGTTCAGGAGTTGCCTCAGAACATCCAGCTGAGTGAGCCTCTAAGGACTCTAGAGTCGCCCCAGGGGTAGCACGGGCTCGGTTTGCTGGACATGTGCGGCAGAATCTGCGTTGTGAGGGGTGTTCATCCATCACCCAACCCTCTCATTGTTGTAACATCTTGTAACTCCACAAAGAATGGAGACCTGCTATGAGCACTAGGAGATACTAGGGCCTGTCACTAGGGGAGCGTCGCTGGAGAGGAGCACAGATCGACCAGCGAAACCATAGATTCAGATGTGCCAGTGCCGCTGTGCAAGAAGAAGCTAGAACACATCCACTATCTCAAGCTGCACCCTCAGGATACTCTCATTCAGAAACCCTTTAGGATCATGCCAATTTGTTGCTCCAGATGAGTTTCAGCACGGCCCCCGATCTTCCTCCAAAGCACCAGTCATCTGACAAGCCTTATAGGTTTGATCATGTTTGATCCAATGTCCCAGAAACTCTCGCAGCACCTTCCCCCTCCCATCGATGGCCACTCACGGACTTCGACACGTTCCGGGTGTCGGGTTGACACATTCAGCCACTTCACTCCGTCGACCAGCCCACTTCGACCAACGCGGACTCCGACCACTTAGTTCGTCCACTCCCCCCATTGGCCATTGATTGACCCCCCAGGTCGTGTTTTCCCCAACTGATCGGTGTGCCAGTCGGTCCGAGCCACAGCTGGATCCGGCTCTTGCTGTGGCTCAGAACTGTTCGGCGAATCCACCTGGCGTGTTCTTCCCCCAACGGAGACGGTCGATTCTGGGGGACGCAGACGGTCATAGGTCGGTGAATCGATTCACTTCGAGTGGTTCACTTCAACGACATATACAATAGAATGTCATATCATATAATTCAATATATTCTATTTATATAGTAGAATATTTTAAAAAAATAATATATACCTGGATCTTCCTTTGGGCGGAAAAAAGTGCCGGACCTCAATCCGGCAAAATTTTCCGCCGGATTCCGAAAAAAACGCCGGAGACCTGAAAAAACATCCGGATCCAAGATTCTGAAAAACAGAGATGATAAAAGGTTGGATCATACACAAGGAAACTGCCTTTGCGCCACGAGTAGTTTTTCTGGAGCACACTCGAACCTTCCCGTTCCCATTGCCCTCGCCCATCTTCCGAATGGCCTAAGAGCAAACCCATCACACAATATAAGCAACTTGTGCACAAGCAAAGACTTCCAAGAAAAAACAAGGAGTATGTGGCAAGGAACGCAAGGAACCCCTCTTTCTCTGCAACCGTGTCTCTAAAGTTTTTTTTACAAAGTGGGCTGCTCTCCATGATTCTTATGCTTCTTAATGTTTCATTGAAGCTTGCCTCAGGACGGCCCCCCAATAAAGTAGTAGCAGAACTCATGGTTCCTGTCAAACTCTTCTGTGAAAAACTGTTCACAATCAAAGCCTGCAGAAGACTCAGTCCAAAAAAATACGCCGGAGTTACGGGAAATTACGCCGGAGTTACGGGAAATTACGCCGGAATTACGGGAAATTACGCCGGAGTTACGACGTGCCATTTTTTGACAGCTCTCTGCAAAACATTGAGATTCTGAACAACACATGCTCCACAGCCCAAAACTTGTCCGGCAGGCTCTGCAAACCTGCGCAGCTAGAACTATATCCCAGCGCCCCGACATCCTGAAACAATGGGAGTACATGTTTGCCTATGCTCTTTCAGCTTAGGTGCACCCACTTGGGTCTTTCAACAGGTGCATCGCACTGTACCGGCTTCATCCGATTTCATTTAGAAGATCACCTAAACGGATTTGATTGATCCAGTGTGAACCATGCTGAAACCGGAGGAATGAGAAAACAGCGGAACAGGCAAATGAGCACACTTTGCAAACAAAATCATTGCATCAGTAGCGGGTTTACCTTCAAAGAAATCAGACCACAAAGAATGCAAAGCCTTGAGAATCCACATAAAGTGACTTGGAAAAAGCGCCGGACCAAATCCAGAAAAACGCCGGAGTTGGAAGTCCGGCGCCGGACCCTGTAAAAGTGCCGGACTGAAGATCTAGGATATATATATATATACATATACTTACCATACAATGTTAGTCATACAGTATTACGATGTCGCCGACTCGATTCCGTCCACACCCCGTTGGCTATTATAAGACTTGGGTAATGGTATATCCTATATCAGGCAACAGGGGATTATGATGTTGGTGACGGTGATGATGACGACCGACTGCGACAGGTAATGGGACAGCAACCCTATATAGTAACCCATGTAAAAAGGAATCATTGTAACCCCAGAACTTCCATCTAGCGCTACCACCTCGAGCCATTCGTTCAAGCAAGTCGTTCTAGAGTCGTTCGACCGGACCGAACCTGCAGTGGTCGATCGCTCGAGGAACCTGGCGTGCGTGCATTTGTCGGGCCAGCGGGTCTGCCCTCACCCCATGGTCCTGCGCTTAAAGGCAAGACGTGCGAACCAGCTGTTTGTCTTGGATCAAAGAAGTGGGAGAATGGTCCCGAAGATCGAGCCTTCAACCGCTACAAGCGGATTTCTATCTTCTCCGATAGAAGAAGGCAGATCTGACTAAGGATTGGCTCGGGCATCCACAAGCTAGTTAGGTTGACCATACCGAGATAAAGGCGCAACGGAGACATGGTCGGCTGTGGTCGGCTTTCGTGATCAAAGCTGTGCCAAATCCAACACCAAAGAAGGAAGGTTTGGGTGGTCTTTCTGAAGGCATCGCGTCAAGATACCCGTGCTGCTTGCAGCAAGGAGCAAGCAGCTCTGCATGAAAAAACCCTTCCTTCAACACCAGGTGACTATGAGATAATGAACCAATAAGACCCTGCAAAAGGGTGGAGTATCACTCGTGTCTGCGTCTGGGGTGTGAAAAACGCCGGGGTCCGGGCTGATGTTGAGCACCACAGTCTCCTTGTTGATCTCTCCAACCACTTCGAAGAGACTGCGCAGGCCGCAGGGGTCACAGGGGCCGCAGGAAAGGAAAACATTCAAACAGTTTGTTCTTAGACCCCGGCGCTAACATGTTGAATTACATCACCATGGGCACACACCAAAAGGACACGGCTTGCCCCGCTTCACGTGACATCGAGGTGCTTCAGGCTGAGACTAGAGCCACGGGCATAATGGTGGAGTCATGAGCGCTCCAAGTCGTCTTTTGGAGTTTGACGAACTGATCAACTCCAACCTCCGCTCTTCAAACGTGATCCTTCACAAAGTAGCTTGTTCAGTGAGTATCTCATCCGTCGAAACCTTCCCAAAGACGCGCCTGTGGTATTGCTGGATCCACATTTTCAGGCCTCCATGATCTTGCGCCCGCTTCCTTCCAGCTTCCGATCCGCGAACCCGATGAGATGGGGATTCCGACAGGCGAAAAAAACTAAAGGCTCCACCAGTTTCACTCGTGTCTACGACGTCTACGAACTGATATATAAGACTGTCTGGCCTAAACTCTTTGACCTTCAACTGATCTTTGATGAGGTATACTCAGAACCTTGGGAGCTGGGACGAAGGACTGGTTTTCACCAAAAGGCGCAAGACTTCCCCCCCGAAAAAGTGCGGACCAGCGCCCGGTGTAACTCCTTTCTCAGTTGAAATGTCTCCAGAGACATCATTGGCAACTCATCTTCATCGATGACCGAGTGAAACATGGCGTGGCGTGATGTCCCGATTTACTCCAACTCCCAGTACTCCCCATCCGACGGATGATGAACACGGGGGGCACCTCAAGGAGTTAGGCAACAGCGCTTTCAGATCAGCTAAAGGAAGGCTCTGCCTGAGCAAAACGGTCAGAACCGCACCGAAGCGGTGGTCTTTTCGAAGAGTCAGTCCACTCCAAGTTCTGGCCCTGTGTGCCGCTGAAAAAGAGGTCTTTGAGACCTAGTGGTCAAGGTCCATGAGAGGGTGGAACGGGGTATCTCACTGTAAGTGTACAGTCTCTGCTGGACAACCTGCCAAACTCGAGGAGGCAGAATGTATTAGGACGTCCGAGGGAATGCTGTTGCTGAATCTGCAGCAACAACTACTCCGGATCTTCAATCGATTCTCAGGGACGTGGAGCGAAAGAAGAGATTGGGCGAGGACCCTGGACCCTGGGCCCATCTGATCCAATCTATGGATCGTCTTCATATAACTTCATCTACCGGATTATGCGGACTCCGATGAAGCTTGAAGACAGCCGTTTTGCGCTTGGCCAAGCGTGTCCGAGCGGAGAAAATGGCGCAAATGGGCACTTTGGGGCTTCTGGCTCTGGCGGCCAAATGGGTTTGAATTTTAATAGGGAAACCCTCCCCCATTGGGTTGTGGTAGATGTCTTCTTCCAGAGGGTCGTTATTTGGGGGGGTCGCTCTTGCCATAACCCAAGACACGCCTGTGTCTGACCTGGGAGGCCCAACTTGGGCCGCCGATGAAGCAATTGAATCAACTGCGACAACAAGACCTGACCGCGCGACCGGTGTTCAGTTCGGTGAGGTACTGCAAAACCAGTTGAATGAGGTGTGGCAATGAAGAAAGACAGAAGCACACTCACAACCAGAAGCAGGGAAATCATGGGTTTTTGTTTTAATATGTATATGTTTTTTTGTGCTGGCTCCAGATCAGGTGTGTGGGTTTCCTCCAAAGAGAGTCTGCAAAGGATTCAAGGCTACTTTGCCATTTACCCCCTGGTTGTGATCAATGGACGACTAGCTGAGTTGTCCATGTCACTGGATGAGGGGAGGTTCTTTAGGCCCAGCAACCAAGAGACGCTCTGCCTGGTTTCCCCGAGACGCGGCTGGACCAGATGGCGGCTCGGGAAAAGCGAGGACTTCTTCAGTCCACTCACAGATGGGTGTGTATTAGAATAGGGAGATCCTGGGAGGACCCCTCAGTTCAGACCGATGCTTTTATGTTATGACACGAAATCCATTTTTGCGTTGGGAGGCCTCCCTACTAATAACAAGAAGCTACGAACGGGGCTCCTGGCATCGCTACTAGTAACAAGGACGCTACTAGGGGCTCCTGGCCTTACTACTAGGAGCAAGGATGCTACTAGGAGCTACTTGGGAGACCCCATCTCCTCCGATCTCGCCCAGTGGCCCCATCGCTCACCGGCTCGGACTCCTCCTCAGGCGAGAGGCCGTCAGGCGAGAGGCAGTGCCGCGTGCGAAAAACACCTCTATGCTCCGTTCGTAGCTTCTTGTTACTAGTAGCGATGCCAGGAGCCCCGTTCGTAGCGTCCTTGCTCCTAGCAGTAAGGCCAGGAGCCCCTAGTAGCTTTCTAGGGAAAGGGGGGTGATTCTTTCACGAAAAACACCGGGGGGCCCTGATGTCTATTCTTTCCCAGATGTTGAATGTCACTTTCCAGCGCACAACCAGCACTCTTAAGTAGAGGACATTCTATAGACGAAAACGATCTTTCGCCCTGCAAACTCCAACATCACTTTCGGAAAGCGACCAATTATGGACTCTTCAGTCCATATTTTATTATTGAAGCTCATCTAAGCTGCGTCCTGGTAGTCCCAATCCATCCACGTTCCGGCTGGGCCGCCCCCACGCTTCGGCTCTCAACAGTACCCATGCGCTTTCGTCGGGTGGCGGCCTCGAGTCGGTCGAGTCGCAGCCAACGGTCGAGTCGGCACATCGAGGCCGAAGACATCGGGATCCACCTGCAGTTGCCTTGAATCCTTAGAACCAGCCGTGTAGGTCGTTTTCCCATGTTTTCCCAGTCCAGGTCTCATCCATTCATTAAGGTGTCTTTTTCTTCCGGAACCTTGGGTGTCGGAATGGTGTGTCTCAACACTCTGAGAAGAGTGGAAGTCTTTCAATCCACTTGATCCGAACAAAAACTACGTCACACCTGCAATTCGCAGAAAATCCAGCTGAAATAGCAATGGAGGTACAAAGGAATACAGAGTATACAATGGTAGTAGTGAAGGTCCAAGTCTACACAACAATATCTTTTGTGACCATGTTCTTTGCTTCTGTGCTTGTGGTTGCATCTGAAGCACAAGGAAAGCTATATCAATCATTGTTCTTGGAAAACAGCTTTGAAAGAAAGGACACAAGAGCTAAAACTCTAAAAAGATTCACAACAACTACATACAAAGAAAGAACAGATGCATTGATCTATAGATATATGACAGCATGATAGTTGCTGGTCACTGGTGAAGACACAAAGTCACAGGTCTTGCAAAACGCCACCGCCATATATCATATTTATCAGCATCCAATCTAAAAGGATTATATTATATAAGGGAAAACTGGAGGAGCGGATTAGGCTGGACCTCGCAAATGCCTCTAATTAACTTGCCTAACGGCTTAAATCATTATCTGTTCCATCTGTTCGCTAGGTACCACTGCTATATGCCATGAATTGCCATTGTATGCCAAGGGGGGGTTCTCCTTTTCCTTTCCGACCGTTTTCAGACCAAACCCCATCCCCAGTGACTCAGCAAAACTCCCTTCTGCTCCCCACTCACTCCGCCACTCCGCCCGAACTCGTCCCGCACAAAGACCGCTTCGCACCTGGGACCCTTCCAGCCATGCAGTGTCTCAACCCGACCCGACGAGCTGAGAAAGCTGGAGCCAGGAGAGCGGAGCGGGGGTGGAGGAACGCAGGCTTTACATGGCTTTGGGCCCATGGCTTTACATGGCTTCATCCGAATCGTGTATTTTCTCTGAAAAGGATGGGGCTCCTGTCTTAGAAGAACGCAGCGCAGCACACATACTCAGCTCCTATAGTCGTCTTAGAATCCAGTCCGAAAAGTCTCAAACGAGGTGTCGTTGAAGCCAATCGGTGCATGCGTGACAGATCAATGAGGTAGCCCCAACACAACCACCCATAGACTCCAACAGAGGTTCTTCAGCACATGCTCTGGTGGGAGTGATCCACAGACTGGAGCTTCATTTGTATACATCATACATCTGTCGAGACAACGTTACACCTTGTCCTCGTGCAGATGAACATGGACTCTCAAAACCTTGTAGAGAGATGTAGAGAAAAATGGTCGAAACCACGGGGTAATTGTCAGGGTCCATGTTAGTCTGCAGGGGGATACTATGTTGCATCATGTTACTACCTTTCGATTCTGCTCTGCTCATGTTTTGCCCTCGACGATTCGCAAGAGCCGCTGCGGGAGCTGCATCGCTGCGTGCACATCGCTTTGCGCCTCGCAGGATATAGGAGGACCAGAGTCTCGATCAAACAGGACAAGAAGCGAACATGTCCGAGAAAGCCTCTACTGGTCTTCCTCAGCTCTTTGCTGTATTTCAAGATTTTTGTGTTTCTGGGGGTTCCCCTTTTGAACGATGCTTGCTTTCTCCTCTCATTGAACTGGATCCTTTCGAAGCTAACGCTGTCATTTTCACCTGGCGCCGCCCGCGACCGAACCCCACGCGCCAGCGACCCGTCGCGAGCTCCGTCATCGGCGGAGCGAGCTGATGTCCTGGGCGGAGGAAGTTAGCTATATATAGTAGCAGCTTCGTGCTAGTAGCAATGCACTTGTTACTAATATACATATATATATATATTATGTGATGCACCTGCTACTAGTAGCGGAGGAGGCTCGGAGGCAGGTTTTGGGTGTTCGGTGGATTGGATCCGACGAAGCCTGCTGAGATACAGCCATGACTAGTGACTCTGCGATGAGTGAGGGAACAAAAATAGATCCATGATGATCCATGGTGTGCAAAATAATCAAGGATAACATCAACTACACCCCCTGAAATTTAGATACAATCGGGGGAAGGAACGCCCGAATGAAAGGACCTACACTTCACCCAAACTGGGTCATCAAACCCCTCTAGCCTTGCTTCCACTGGTGCGGAAAAGCAACTACGCCAGGAATCGTGTGTGAACATAGACGATCATCCTACCAAAAATGCGGGGATGGCTCAAAGCATTCATTTTGATCCGGTCATATCCTGTCACCCTCACATCTGGGTGCAGGAAGGTCTCCTGTACCAAAGGCTCTTCTGGTTCCTTGCCGCCCAAGAGCGGTTGACGACTAGAGCAGTGTGGCCAAAGGTGTGCTTCGCCATACAAGCTCAGTTGCCGGATAGAATGATACTTAACACTATTGAGGACTGGGCTTCCAGACTTCCTCCCGGGTCCTTTGTTAGCCGAAAAGTGCTTCTCATGGGTGACAGGCAGTGACGTTTAGGTCACGAGTTTAGGTCGTTGAGGTCAATTCACTTGATTCCGTGCTGATCTGTCAAAGATGTCGTTCCCTGAGGAAAAACAAGATGGAACCCACGAACCCGAATGCAAACACGTTCGAAAAACTACATATGTCCAAATGACACTCTTGTAGGACACTCTTGTGGGACACTCTTCTGGGACTAGGACACTCTTGTGGGTCACTCTTGTAGGAAACTCTTGTGGGACACTCTTCTGGGACACTCTTGTAGGACACTCTTGTAGGACACTCTTGTGGGTCACTCTTGTAGGAAACTCTTGTGGGACACTCTTGTAGGACACTCTTGTGAGACACTCTTGAGCAACACTGTTGCGGGACACTCTTGTGGGACACTCTTGTTGGACACTCTTATAGGACACTCTTGTGGGTCACTCTTGTGGGAAACTCTTGTAGGACACTCTTGTAGGACACTCTTGTGGGACACTCTTATAGGACACTCTTGTGGGACACTCTTGTGGGACACTCTGGTAGGGCACTCTTGTGGGACACTCTTGTAGGACACTCTTGCGGGACTCTCTTC